AAAATAAAACAAAATAAAACCAAAGAGCTAACAGTGGTTGTAAGCAAAAAACTTTCTTTATTCCTTTGGAGGAGGGAAACTAGACACATGTACTGGTACTCCTTCTAGTAGGACACACGTTAGTGTGGGCAAATCTTAATACATATACCAGTGGCTATATAGTGAGCTGTTACCTTGATAATCAGGGGTAACAGCAACAATGAAACAAGTTTGATTCATAGTAGGACTTCATAACCAGAATATGGGTACCACGGGTCCTTGTCCAATCTCAAAGACCACCTGGTGCTGATGTGGAACAATTATGGGATTTTGCTGTGTCTGAGTTCATCCAAAGAGTGTGTGCAAAGGATTGTTGTTATGCCAAGCTCAGGGCATAGCTCACTTTCTGGCCTTCAGCTCTGGAAAACAGAGTGTGTCCTAATAGTAAAAAGAGAGGAGTAGTCTTGGCATGGGGATCCTGATCTGGTGAATAGCTAGTGTTAGTCTCTTAGCAACTCAATGGGTGGTATGTGTGTTAGAAAGACTACAGGACTGGGCTTCAAGAAGATATGATAATTAGGCATCTCAGTCTGGCCACTTACAGACTGACAGTGAGCCAATCACATTACTTATCTAGGCCTCAGTTTCTTCATTTGAAAAATGAAATCAGTTGGATCCAGTCTCTAAGGTTCCTTCAAGTTCTGAAATTATGAGATTCTTTTCATGTGAAAGTTTAAAATCTGCTACAGCCAATGACAGTGGCAAATGCACTGAATACATAAGTAACTTCTCATTTTCAGAAAAGTTGCCTTTGCCAGAGGTTCTTAACCTGGAGTCCATGATATAAAAAAAAAATAATAATAATGTACAACATTTTTTGTTTCCTTTGCAATACTTTTGTTTTCCAAAAAACACAAAATTAAAACATTCTTCTGAGAAGGGCTCCATAGGCTTCACCAGATTACCAAGGGGTTCAAGACCCACAAAAAGGTTAAGAAGACCTGGCTTAGGTTGTTATCTTCTCAGGAATGGTCATGAGTAGAAGAAGTGGCTATGCTTCCAACCCTCTAGAGAAGGCTGGTGGGTTGCTTGTGGCAACCAAACAATATCAGTCCACCCTCAAAAAATGTAGAGGAAAAAATCCTCTACATTTGTCGTGGTTGGCCTGAAATCCTTTGTTGTGCCCATGACCCACTTACTAGCCGTGGGCTGCAGGTTGTGTAGGCCTGCCCTAGAGGATGAAGACTGCTGTGCTGTGGGGATGTAGAGAAAGTGACTTTTTTAAAGAGACTAACCTGAATGTGAGTGTTGAAATTAGGGTAACAGATACCTGGCTAAAGGTCCCTGAACGTTCTTCTCTTTTTGGCCACTTTGTATGGAATGGAGAGATCTACTACATTTAAACTAAAAATCCCCTTCTCATCACAGTGGCTGGTGTGGAAGGGTAAAGAATAACAACTAAGCAGATGCAAAGAGAAAAGTGCTATGGCTTTGAACACAGATATGAATTCCCTATGAAGTATCAGTTCACTCTTACTTGTTGAGAGAGGTAGAGAGAGAGACACAGTGAAAGACAAAAAGACAGAAGTAGAGAGAGACAGAGAGACACAGAGAGAAAAAAAGAGAGGTACGCAGATAGACACAGAAAGATACAAACAGAGAAACAAAAAGAGAAAGTTTCCAAGTCATTGCCCCAAGCTGGACACTGACTCACTGGAAAATCTTGCCAAATTGAGGAAATCCCCAGTGCGGATAACATAATTTCTCCCTGTGAGTCTGAGAGGAGTATTGGGAGGAATAATTAAGCTCCTGTATGTTTTGCCTTACTTGCAGAAAGGGAAGATGGACTTGCTTTGACAAGGATCACCTGGGGTTGGGAGAAGATGCTTGGACTCACTGCATTGATATATGTTCTTTAATCCCTTCATATATTGTGATTAAGGAGTTGAACACAGTAATGTCTTGTACATGTTCTTAATGGAAATGAAGCAGGGATAGGATCAGGGGTGGAGTTTTTCTTGGAGTAGGATAAGGGCTAAACCATGATCTGATTGGGTGAATCGGCATCAAACCCTTAGATGACATGAAAAGGGAGTTGCCACCCAGGGAATTAGTGAAAGTAAAGGGAGAGAGGAAGCTAACTCTCTAAGAATCAGAGAAACTTTGGTGTTCTCCCCAACTGTACCTTCTGGTAAATGAGTGGTGCCAATAATAGATGAATGTGAGCATTTTTTTATAGCCTAATTGCTAAATAGGTTTGAGCATGCTCCCCAGAATTCCCTCGTGACATATCTATGATGTTGATTTTGAAAGGTTAGGGATGAACCCTGAATATTTTCTTTAATAAACTGTCATTATTCTACCACTTGTTAAGTTATCAAACCTATTTGTGTTTTAACATTCATTCAATTTACTAGTCAATCTATAAAATAATATTTTACAGGATCACAGAATCTAGGAGTTAGAAGGGGCCTGAACAAGAGTCCCTTAAACATACGCACCAGCCTTTTATGTACACCTCTGAAAAAGGGAAACTCATTACTTTCCAACCCTCCCCACTCAACCCATTCTGCTTTTATATAACTAATTGCTTGGAAAATTTTTCTGACACCAAACTTAAATCTGCTTCTTTGAAATGTTCACCCATTACATTTATTTTTTCCTTTGAGGGACAAACAGTATAGATCTAATCCTTTTTCAACATCACAGCTGTCCAAATACTCGAAGACAACTGTCATGTTCTGCTGAGGTCTTCCTATTTCTAGGTTAAACATCCTAGATTTCTTTGATTGGTCATCATGAACTTGTGGCCCTTCATTATCCTAGCTGCCCTCATCTGGATACTCTGCAACTTCCTAAAAATGTGGTGCCCAGCACTGAACAAAATATGATTTTGCCCAGATCTGCTCTATGTCAGAATAAAGCAGGATTATCACTGCCTTCTTCTTGCCTCTTTTAATGGATCCTAGGTTAAAATGAATATTTTCTTGGCTGTTCTAGCACACTTTTGCTTCACAGCGAGCTTGCAGTGTACTAAAATGCTCAGTTCAATGCAGGTAAAATGATTTCCAGTTGTCTTTTCCCCCTGTACATCCCCCACATTGTAGGCTTGTGAGGCTAATTTTTCTTAAACTCAGGTGTAAAGATATACTTTGTATTTTTCGCTACTAAATTTGATCTCATCCAATTAAGCCTAATATCCTAATTTAGCAAGATCTTTTCAGATTCTGGCATCCAACATTTTAGTTATCCCACCCAGTTATCTATCTGTCATACTTCCTTTTAACTTGTCATAAAACTATTTATTGAGGCTGCTACTGGGCGCTGGGTCTGGAGTCAGGAAGACTCCCAGTCAGGAAGACCTGAGTTCAAATCTAGATTCAGACCTCTGTTTGCCTTCATCCACCACAGAAGGATCTTTGGCCAGAAAACCCCATGGATAGCATTGGCGTGTAATGGCCCATGCGGTCATGAAGGCATGGCTGAACTTACACACAAAACTACTTATTTAGAACTTCAAGTGGTACTTTCTTGGTTCATTCCCCATACTCTTCATGATTTTATGGGCTTTAATAATATTTTCTTCAGTTTTAACAGAGTTTGAGTTCTAAGCTTCTTTCAGCCTCTCTTCCCATGAAAACTGCTTAATCCCTTTGATCACTCTGTGGCCTTTTTCTGGACTTGTTACATATGTTTTCAGCCAGTTCTTGATGATCCAAAATTAGAGGAAACAGCAATAGTTAAATATTAAATAATTACAATATTTAACATCTAAGGAGGGAACCCAGCACATTCACCTCATCATTTCCCACCTGGCTGATCTCCTGGACCATGTTTCCAGTAAATCATGTTTCTGTAAGATTTCATCAACCCCTCAGTACCCACCCACCCTTGTCCTGGGACCCCTCTCTCCTTCTTATTGGAAAGAGTAGGGGATAGACATTGAAGAGCTCCTCCCATAAGGTTTACTTAAGGAAGTGCCTGGTGCAGCCATCTCATCATTTCCTGCTCAGCTTCAGGTCTCTACCAAGCCCTCAAGCCCTCCCTCTCCTCTTTTGGCTTCTGTTTGTATGTTGTCTCCCCAATTAGATTACAAGTTCTTTGAGGGCAGGAGCTGTCTTTTATCCTGCTTTGCATCCCTAGTGCTTAGCAGAGTGCCTGACACATAACAGGCACTTAGTAAATGTTCATTATAGTTTATTGTGAAAACATACATAACCCCCAATTAACCAGTTTTTACTGATTTTACTGGAGTTGTTGAAAAGGAATAAAGTTGACTGATGAGAATTTTATTTTTAGATATTCCTCCTATATACATTCTTCAGGAAGTTTTGAATGAACAAAAATCAAAGAGGGTATAAGACAGAACATAAAGGAAATAGGATGAACAATAACCCTTGAATAACTGGGTTTGATTAAACATTTATTTTGAAAAAAAATGTAAAGAAATTCCTACTTTAGCTGTTTAGCTGACTTGGCTGAAAGAGGTAGAGGGGAACACCTGATTCTTAATGCTATCTAAGACCTCCACTACTCATTGTCTCATCAATATTTGGATATTTAAAAATTGTAGGTGTTGCTGGTTATGAAACTTAAATAAGTTTCTGATATTAAAAAGTCTAAGAGCTCTGGACCAATGAATTTTACCAGTCTAGTGGAACTTACCTGCTTTGGAGATCTTTGAAAGTGACCAATGTCATCTCTTTTTTAAATGGCAATGAAATTGGCTGGGGAAGTGACATGGACCAAAGGAAGTCTTTTTGCCCTTAAAAAATAACCTAATATCATGTTCCCAGGAAGAAAATCTACTTTTTCTACGTACAGCATAAAGATAGTATGAAATGTACCAATGGCTCTATATGTCTTGGCTTAGGAAGAAAAATGCTTGATCTAACTTACATTCCAGATCCCTTTGATATTTGAATATCAGCTGTTGAATGCTTTGAACTACTTGACTCAGTATGAAATTGTAGTAGGCCCTGAGACTTTGGAGAATAAAAAGCACACATGAAGCCATGACCTTCATTGCAGTAACATTTAATATAATATTTCTGTACAGGTTTAGCCAAAGAGTTTTAGTCCATCTTTAGGTTACAACATCATTGTTTTAGAACATAAGATCAAATTAACCATCTGACACAAACATAACTCTAGGGGGGGAAACATTTGTTTTTCCATTTAGGTGTTTCCACAGTGTCCCCTGTCAATACCATGTACCAATGCTTAAAGCATAACTCTAGGGAAAAAACGTTTTTGCTTTTAGGAGTTTCCACAGTGCCCCCTGACTATCAATACAATGTACCGTCTCTTAAAGCATAGCTCTAGGAGGGAAAACATTCTTTCTTTTTAGGTGTTTCCACAATGTTGCCAAACAGTCAATACAATGTACCATCTCTTAAAGCAAGGACTTCTCCTTTGGCTATGATTCAACTAGCAAAAGTTGGATAGTTTCTGCATTTCCACAGATAAGACACAAACACACACACAATCTTTAACTGTTACATCAAGAAACACACAAATAAGAAGTCTTATTTAAACATCACAATAATAAATTCATTTTGTCCATTAAATATTTTGCAGGTTTTCTTTCTTCTCCAAGTCATGGGATGATGACTATATTCAGCTGCTTGTAAGGTACAGATGAAGTGATACACAATAGGACAACATTTTACAATGAAGTTGCAGTTTGATTGACATTCATGATTCTGCACGATATCTACATGAAATGGTCATATTATATAGCGGGTCAATAAATGGTCTTTACTCATTAGGCACCAATAAATTCATATCCAGAGCATCTTTTTCTCCTGCATAAATAAATCTGCATGCAATAAAATATATTTGTTGTAAAGCAGCCATAAATATATATATGTATATTTTAGAGAAGCAAAGCGTTTGTTCTTTCTTTTTCAACCTTTAGAATGGCAGATTCTAAACATAGCAGATTCTAAACGCAGCGCAAAAGAGCCATCAAATCTGCTTTTATGCCATTGTTAAGAAACCCATACAGCACTGGATTAAGGCAACAAGACAACATACCAAGCAAATGACAAATACAGTACACCAATCGGAAATGCCTATTAGACAGAAGGCCAGCATTAAAATCAGTAACAACATGGAAAAGATGCAAAGGCATCCAACTGACAGCAAACACAATTATCAGAATGGTTAAACGATAGACGACTCGGCGAGATCTCTTTCTGATCCTGGAGATGGAGCGGGATATGGTCAGCATTTCTGGCTCTTCTAACTGCTTTTCTTCAGGTTTAATCACGAAACAGATGGGCACCCCCGGTATGATCTTACTGGCATTGGTCAGCTTGCACCTCTCAGGTTCTGCTGCTTCTTCTTCTTCTTCTTCAATCTCTTTGGGAGGTACCTCTGGAGGAGGAGGAGGATGGCGCAAAACAGGTACGACGCATGACTTCTTGTTGTACATCTTGCGGTGTTTTCGGCTTAATGTGTAGCTCCATCTTTGGAACTTGGGGAGCTGAATATGGTGTCCACTGTTCTTGGCTGCATAGCCTTCCATGTCATCCAAATCATCGTCTCCAGTATTAGGATCACTCAGCTCATTCATCTGCTCCATCTCCTCCATCTCAAACATCCCATACATTGAACCCAATTCCTCGATCTCCTCGATCTCCTCAATTTCCATTTCTCTCATCCCCTTCTTTCCCCTCCTTCCCCTTTTCCAACTCCTTCCTCTTCTTTCCTTTGTGTCTCTCATTTCATCCCTTGGGTGTCTCATGCCCCGCCTGCCCCTCATCTCTCTCGGGTCCCTCATCTCTCTCGGGTCCCGCATATCTCTCATGTCTCTCATCTCTCTTGGGTCCCTCATGTCTCTCGGGTCCCTCATGTCTCTCATGCCTCTCATGTGCCGCATGTCTCTCATTTCCATTGTGTCATTCGTGTCTTCTATGTCTTCCACATCCCTCATATCCCTCACATCTCTCACCTCTCTCATTTCTATCATGCCTTCTATCTCCTCCACATTCTTCATGTCTCTCATATCCCTCACATTCCTTGGGGTACTAATTTCTCTCATTTCTATCATTCCAGTCAGGTCCATCACTTCTTCAACGTCATCCATCTTCTCTAGTTCTCTCACTTCCATCATTTCTCTCATTTTCCTTCGCCCTCTCCTACCCATCCTCTCTCTTCTGTCTCTCCTCTCTCTCAGTTCCCTCTTCAGCTCTCTCAGTTCCATTATGTCCTTCATGTCCATTGTGCCTTCTAAGTCTTCTATGTCATCGAGGTCATCATCGTAGTCATCTTCCATGTCACTCGGGCCCGTCATCTCTCTTGTCTCTCTCATATCCTTCATCTCCATTGTCTCAACCATATCCTTCTTCCCCTTCCTCTCCTTCTTCTCTCTTTTCTCCCTCTCCTTCCTCTCCTTCTTCTCCTTTTTCTCCTTCTCCTTCTTCTCCTTCCTCTCTCTCTTCTCTTTTTCCTCAAGCCTCCTTTTCATCTCCCTAGTAGACATCTTGCAAGTAATGCTCCGGCAAACACTGGTATGACTCACAATCAGACAAATCAAGGGCAGTATGTACTGAACCACCAGCAAACACAGAGAAAAGGCAATTCTATACGACTCCTTTGGCCAGGCCTCAACACACACATACTTAGGGGCCGTAGTATTTGTGCCATTATTCCCATTGGGTTCTACAAGCCTGTAGAAGATGGGAAGAGGGGAACAAATAACAAAGCCAATGGCCCAAGAAAGGCCAACCAAGTAACAGCCTTGTCTGATGGTCAAACTTTTGGAAAGGGGATATTTTATCCTTTGGTACCTGACAATAGCAATTGAGATTAAGATTAAAGTGGAAACCAGCACCGATGTACATTGGAGAAAAGGCATAAGACGGCACATGAGTTCACCAAGCACCCACTGATCTAGCAAGAGAGCAGACAGTGTGAAGGGTGAACAAAATAGCACGACCAAGATATCAGAGAAGGCCAAATTTCCAATGAAGAAATTTACAATCGTCTTTTGTTTACATTTTTTCATGAGAGCCATGAGAATAAGCATGTTTCCCATAAAACCAAGCAGACTTATGGTTGAGTACAACCCAATCACAAAGACCTGTACATCATCTATCTGGGTCTTATTACCACCACCACCCCAGTCAGGATCATAGGATGCCGTGGCCATCTCGGTGCCGTTCTCACTTGTGAGAGTTCGATTATCATAGTCCTCTGGTTCTAAATCCATGGCGTAGCCCTGCTTAAAACCAGAAAGATATTGATTAGTGATGTGCAAAAGAAAATAGCTTATGGGACTACAAATCTAAATCCACAAAGTGAAACAAAACTTTTTAATTCAATTCTCCTTCCATTGCTTTGTTAAATTTGCAGGCAAAATCACTGACAACTTTTAACTCATCCTAAGTGTAGCACTACATATGCCAAGAAAAATCATAGTAAGTTCAAGTCTTTCATCTTTTCTAATGTGTGACACTGTAGCATACATCGTTGTCTTTTGAATTATATAGGAAATTATTCTGAGTCTGTGTGTGTGTGCAGATATGTAAGAAGGTAATACAAAAACAGATTTTTCAGGCACTCATTAAGATGGTTCCATGGTCAACAGAACCAACGCTTATAGGTCCCTGATAGATGAATTGACTTTTAGAAAATCAGCAAATATCTATTTAAATCAGGACCTAGCTTAGATGTCACCTCCTTGCACACAATTAATGCTTGGCAAATGTTTGTTGCACTAGATTCATAAAACCTTCTGTGATCCTCCCAAATCAGATATGATCTTTCTTTCCATTGAACTCATAACACTTGGTGTTTCTTATATAGCATTTATCACATTCTACATGGTATTATAGCTTTTTCATGTGCTTGTCTTCGACCCCTTACTAAAATATATAAGCACTTTGAGGGTTAGAACAGAGTCTTGTCCATCTTTGCTTCCCCCAGTGCCCATAACTGTCTTGTGCAATAAATGGATGAATGGATGGGTGGATGAATGGATGGAATCACATAGAAATACCAATAACATAAACATTATCAGATTTAGGCTATGTCAGCAATAAGGCCCGAAAAACAGATTGCAAGATGGCAAAGCCATTCAGTGACTGGTCTACTCAATCCATCTTGATATGTTAGTATGATCCATAAACAATAATTTTGTTATACAGTAGTCTTTTTGTTGTCTATATATCAATTTCCATCAGTCAAAAGATTACTAAATTAGTTAAATCTGAGGCCTTAGTGGGCCTTTAACAAACTTTGCATATTCCTAAGCTGTATTCCTATGCTTTTTATTTGAACTTGGTATAAGAAAACCAGGTCATCACAAAACTAGATACAAAATTAACACCAATATGAGATTCCAATACTTTTTTAAGATTCCAAGTTAAGTTAATAATGGTACATTATTAAAATATGTTCTTTAAATTTTGTATACATTGTTCATATGAGTAATCCTAACAAGTGGAGAACTAAAACTGCATAAAACATATCATTCCAATGTGAATGACAGTTAGGGGGAGAAGGACAATTCTCTTTTTATAACACCACCACCTTGCTAGCCTCCATCTCCAAGGACCTCCATGTTATTTACACTGAAGTCACTCAATAAACATTGAACAAACAAATGAATGAGTGGTTTGTCTTTACAACATTTTGATACATATAGCTAGCAAGAACATTTTAAAAGAAGAGACTTATGAGTCTACTAATGTAAATGGTCTTGCTCAGGTTATAAAGCAAGCCAGTGATGCATCCAAAAAGAGAACAAAATTCTTAGTCCAATAAAGTCTCCACTCCTAGGCCCTGATGCATTGGTATATCCATAAACAAATGACATAGACTTCTGTGTTGCACACATTACTTTGAAACTTCAGTGGATCCAGGATCTCATCAGTGTGGATACTCCCTTCAATTGTGAAGATCGGAACCTATCCATGCCTTCTTATCCTGTATGATTCTTGTCCATTTGATGCACTGGATTGGAGGAACTGGGTTCAAAATCTGGCTCTACCACTTACTACCTGTGTACCTTGGGCAAATCACTTACTTGTTCTGGGCCTCAGTTTCCTCATCTGTAATATGATGGGGTTAAACTAGAAGACTTTCAGAGGCTTTCCCCACTCTGAGTCTGTGATCTCCTGAAAATTCTCTATAGAGAATCTCTAAAACAGGCAGGTGGCTTTCTTATAAGTCTTTTAACCATCTGTGAGTATCAGCACAACATTGAGGCTATCTGTCTTGTATCCCTCCCTCTTTCTTTCTTGGACAGATACCCCTATTCTGCCATCTGTGGGTTGATGCAATTGGAACAATGTTACCTGTAGGCAGAAGTATCTGGTGGACTTTACCACATATAAGAAATGCCTCTTCCATTTGGATTTCCCATGGCATCTTCCATGATGGTGGTGAACACCTTTAGGGAGCACAACAGAGTCTTCCTATTTTATGTCTCACTTCAGATTGTTCTTTAGAGGATCAATAAACAAAGTTATATCTGTAGTTGTATCTACTAAGGAATCTTGTATGATTGTTATCGCATTCATGGTAGATTATTATAATAGAGGCTTAAAACTTCTGTTTTTGTTCTATTATGCCAAATGCTTTTAAAAAAATCAACAAACAATAAACAAAGTGGGATCTTGTTACATTTTAGCCAAATGTGTGAATATGAAGATATAGTGTGTGGTAGGCAATCCTGTGCAAAAATCTGCCTGCTTTCATCTCATATTTTCCTGAAGTATCTCTTCAATATATTTAGCTTGACATAAAGCTGGGATATCTCGTTACTGTACTGAATAATAATCAGGATTTCAAAAAAATTACAACAGACTAGATTGTTAGGCCAAAGAGGAAATTTCACATGGATGAATGTGAAGTCTACACTTACATAAAAAAAAAAACCTCAACTTCCTAAGTACAATATCTGGGAGGTATGGTCATACAATCATACGATAACCATTTTCATTCATCTAAGACAAGATCTGGGGTTTTCATGAACTGAAAGCTCTATACAAATCAATAGTACAAAAAAGGTACTAAAAAGCTAATGTGGTGTGAAAGCTAATGTTAAGAAGAGCATGGTATCCAGAGCAAGAGAGGTAACAGATCTGACCTGCTTGGATTACATTTGAAATATTTTGTACAGTTCTGAGTACTATATTTTAGGAAAAACATTAAGAAACTGGAAAGTATTCAAAGCAGGGCACACAGGCTGGTGAAACCTTTGATATTATGCTTTCTCATAATCAACAGAAGGCATCTATGATATTTAACCTGGTAGAGAAAAAAAATTGGTGGTGGAGGGAAGGAGGGAAGAAGGGAGAACAGGTAGTCCCAATGGCTATCTTCAAGCATTTGAAAGGCTAACACGTACAAGAGATATTAAACTTATTCTGCTTGGCCACACTGAACAGAAGTAGGAGCAATGAGTAGAAGTGGCAAAGGAGAAGAATTAGCCTCAATCTAAGGAAAAACTGCCAGATGAGTTGCCCCTGTTACAGATGTTGAAGGCAAACCTACAAACAATAATTTGTTGGGGATGCTTCAACATGGTTTTTCAATGTGGTATAGATTGGGCCAGAACAAAAAGGTTCTTAACCTTTTTGTGTATATTGGCAGTCTGGTGAAGCCAACAGACCTCTTCTCAGAATCATGTTTGTAAATGCATAAAATATATAATATTACAAAAGAGATCAATCATATTGAAATGTCATCATAATATTTAAAACAATTTCATTGACCCCAGGTTAAGAACTCCTGGACTCTTCTAACTCTGAGATTCTATAATTTTATGAGATCATTTTCAGAATGATTTTAGAAAGATGAGAAATTAGGCATATGGGTCAGCTGCATATGGGTCAGTGGTCTTCCTGACCACTGTTTGGGGAGAGGGGGTAATAATACTATCTGTGTAGAGCTTTTTTAGTTGTTTGCTCTTTTTCATCCTATACAACACCTTGAAAACTGAGCCAAGTACTCTTGTCTCCAGCACAGATTTCATCTGTATTCTGTGTACCTGAATCTGGTCCAGTCACTCTTCCTGAATTCATCTTCTTAGGAAACATTTCTACTTCCTTATATAGTCCTTCAAGTACTGATGTATTTAAAGTTCCTTTGTGGTGGCCCCACTGTCATTGATAATAACAGATAACTATAGAAGCACTGACAAATCAGTTCCATTTTCTAAGAGGTGTTGTCTTTCCCATTCCATCTATAAATGCTCTTGAGATGGCTGTGTTATTTGGTACTCACACTCATCTTTCTGTAATCTTGTTTTCCTCTTCGCTGCTTTTTTTTTTTATGAGGTGATACTCCTCATAACTTTGGGCCTTCTTCCTTGTAATGTTTTACAAATGAATTTGTATGCTAAGCTGGTGTTGCCCTTGGCTACCATGTTTTTCTGCTTGGCAAGAGCAAGGGGATCATAGATTTAGAGATTAAAAGGGACTTGAAATAGTCCAACTCACTCATTTTATAAATGAGTAAACTGAGGTCCAGAAAGTTTAGGTAACTTACCTAAGGTCACATTGATAATAAGAGGCTCAGATAATTTCTGGGCAGTTTGGGTCTCTTCATTGTGGTTACTGTGTTAGATGGGTTAAACTTCTGTAACAAATGGTCATTATCAGAGCCTATGTTTTTACCTCATCCATTTCCTAGTTTTCAGGGTCAAATGCTTGCTGGAATAGATCAGGTTAGAGCTGTTATAATTGCATGCACTGTCTTCTCATCCTTTTTATCCTTTCACCAACCAAAATTTAATTTGGCATTGATTGTGACCTTTATTCCAATTGGTTGCTGGTTGACTGCACACATGTAGCTGATTTTAAAATCATTTACACATTTTGCAGTCTATGGGCTTTTGGTCTTTTCAATTTCTTAACCCTGAAAGACATTTTTCTAGCCTATTTTGCCACCATCCTCCCCTGTGCCTACCTTCCCACTGACTTTACCAAGTATCAAGGTATATGTGACTTGGTTTGGAGGGTCCTGTCAAGCTCTTCATAGAATTTCTCTACCTCTTCATCCTCTGCAACAGATGTTGGTGCAGGAGATGCAATTATCTTCACGGTGTTCTTGTTTACACTCATCATGAGCACTGCAAGGCAAGACGACCAAGTTTCCCATGAAATGGTGTTGCTTACGGCCTGTGGTGCACAAAGAAACCAACTCCACCAACTCCTTTATTTTCCTCTCCAAGGAAAACCTGTAAATCATCCTTCCATTTAGCTGAAATTT